TTGACATCATATTGCACTCCTTACCTTCTTATTATGATAAGTTCCGGATGACCAATAATATCAACAAGGAGGAGGTCACACTCAACAAACTTCAAGGACTTTTGAAGACCGCTAAAAGTGGTCTTAAAGGTAAATCGGTTGTTACAACACCTACTCCAACAGTCGCCCCTGTTCTGGCCATCGGGCAAGGTACAGGGAAGAAGAGGAAGAGCCCTTCGAAGGGTACCAAGGGAAAGTCTCTTGATGGCTCCTCTTCAAGTAGAAACAAAGGTGGTTCTGTCACTCTTTATGCCAACCCTAAAGAGGCTGAATGCTTTTATTGCCATGAAAAGGCGCACTAGAAGCGAAACTGCCCAAAGTACTTGCAAGATGTTAAGGATTGGAAAGTGACACCCATCCATGCAGGTATTTACATTATATTGTCTAATAACTCACCATATTCTAATGCTTGGTTCCTTGATACTGGTTGTGGTATTCACATATGTTCTGATTTGAATGGACTAAGAAGAAGTGAGAATGTGGAGCATGGGAAGATAAACTTCATCATGGGGAATAGGAAAGCTTCACCTGTCACCAAGATTGGAGTTTATTCATTATTCCTAAGTAGTGGGTTAAGATTAGATTTGAATAAATGTTGTTACTCGTCTGAAATGGCGAGAAATATTATTTCCTTTCACGGTTTATACAAACAAGGATTTAATTTTTTCATTTGATAATGAATGTGGTGGTATTAATGCTTTTTATAATAATGTTCTTTATTTCAAAGCATTACCTTGTGATCGTGTATATGAAATTGTGTTGGTTGTAGATAACCTAGGAAATAATATATTGTGTATTGATTCTTCCACTAGCTTGGATAAAGCATCATTATGGCATTGTCGTCTTGGACATGTTAGCAAGAAATTCATAGGCCAACTCCAAAAGGATGGAGTCTTGGAGTCATTTAACCTAAAGTCATGATAGTTGTGAATCTTATTTAGTTGGAAAAATAACAAAGTCACCCTTCACTGGTACCTGTGCTAGGGGTGAAGGTTTGTTGGATAGATCTCGTAGATACAGATGTGTGTGGACCCTTCAAAACCGCCACAAGGGATACTAATCACTTCTATGTGAGTTTTACTGATGATTATAATAGATATGGCTCTGTCTACTTAATCAAGCATAAGTCAGAAATCTTTGAAAAGTTCAAAGAGTTTAAATAGGAAGTGGAGAATCAGTTGGGCAGGAACATTAAGATGCTTCGATCCGATCGAGGTGGTGAGTATCTTAGTACAAAGTTCCTTGACTATCTTAAGGAATGTGGGATTGTCTCACAATTGACACCTCCCAGAACACCACAGCTTAATGGTGTTGCTGAGAGGTGTAATCGAACCTTTTTGGACATGGTTCGTTCGATGATGAGTCGAGCTTTGCTACCAATCTCATTTTGGGGGTATGCCTTAGAGACTGCCGCCCATATCCTTAATCTAGTCCCTACCAAAAAGGTTGCCACAACACTTCACGAGATGTGGACTGGGAAAATTCCCAATTTGTACCGCGTCAAGATTTGGGGTTGCGAGGCTTTCTTTAAGCGCGATGTGACAACCCAAACTTTTCCCATTATCTTGAACCACACTCCGTTAATTAAATTTGAATTTTTTTTATTTCCGTCAAAATTCCTTGGTTTGGAAAATTTATTACGTTATATATATATATATATATATATATATATATATATATATATATATATATATATATATATATATATATAAATTACGTATGAGTCGGAACCAGAAAGCACGCGAAAACTCGAATTTTTCTCGAAATACATCAGTTCACGGCCTGACTGGAGTTCACGGCCGTAAACCTGTTTACTGCTGTAAACTCATTTGCGGTCAATGTCAGGTGGACCCTACCACCGACCATGTCCCTCAGCCTATAATACAGGACCCCCACCTTCATTTGAACCTTCTTGTCAGAAAACTCTCTATTTTTTCTCTCTAGAACTTCTGGCCGTAAACACCAAAAATGCATGTTTTCTTCTGAAAAACATCAGAAATCATCTTTTGGAGTCGATTTGGAGCATCTGGAACACGTTTTCTTCGAAATCAAACACCCTTGTTCTTGACTTTACGGCCGTAAACGCTTCAAATCTTCAAATCTTCAAAAGCCGTAAACTCGTTTACGGCCGTACATTCATCGAATCTTCAAAGGCCGTAAACTCATGTTCATAGCCGTAAACCCTGTTCATGGCCGTAAACTGCCTGTTGGTCGTAAACTGTCTTCACGGCCATACCACGCCTCCTAAGTGGTGAAAAACTCATTTCCTCGATTCAACCAAGTCCCCGTAACATTCCTTAACCAAAAGCAAGTGTTTTTCTAACACTTTATCTAACGAGATCACTAATCTAGATACATATATGTATTTATTTGATATTAGGATTCCGTTAAGTACCACATATGTGACAACTTGAAATTTCTAGCTTGTATAAATGTTCAAATCTATCAGTGTTAGACTCGTATTGCTATCTTTTAGCACTATTTAGGGTCAATTCTGGGTCTTCTCAGACAAGTGCATCAAAGGAATCAGTATTTGGAAGTGTCAGTTTAAGTTCCAAACCATCTAGTAAACCGTAAACCTCCTCAAAAGGAGTTTATGGTGAGGACCTTAGAGCTTATGGTCATGGTGACCATAAACTCACTCTATATGTGTAATTCATGATCATTTTGATCATTTCGTTCCTTTACAAGCCAAAAATCTCGAAAACTCTCTCAAGTATCAAAGGATTTTGCTTCCAATTCTCAAAAATGTAAGTGATTCCTTCCTTTTTGTGAGTTAATCCTTCTCTTACCCACGATTCACTCTTGATTCATCCATGAATTTCATATTCTGAGTCTAGATCTTCAAGATCCTTAACAACATCAAGAACACCTTAGTGTTTTGGACCTAAAACACCTTTCTTTGCCTTTAAATCGTAAGTATCATCCTTCTATATTTGTTATCTAGTTAGGATATTGGATTTAGGCCTTGAAAACATCATTCTTCCAAGAACAAAAGGTGTTTACGATCTAGTGCATCTCCTTAGACCGTAAACCCTTATTAAATGTGCTAATGAGACATTAGACCCTTCCTAAGGCTAAGCATGGTCCCTAGAATTCGATGCCTTTGAATGACGCCCTTGAAAACCATCATTTGTTAAAGATTTGATGAGTTTGCGGTTGAATTTCCTTAGACCATGAACTCCATGACCGTAAGGTCATTAGACCGTGAACACTTGGACTGTAAACTCCAAAGACCGTGAACACTTGGACCGTGAACTCCAATGGTCATACCTCTTTGCCGTAAACTCTATAGGGTGGCCATATAGGCTAGTTATGCAAGCATATGTGATTGTATCCCATAAATCTTAGAGTTTCCTAGTGTTTTAGGGTGTTATCCCTTATAATTAGTTGTTTATATACTAATCAAGTACACAAACATGTCATTATATGTTTATTAGGATCTTTGTGTGCTCAAGGTTTCACCTAACACTCTATATCATTTTTTCAAACATACTTCGGTATCACTCACTACAAGTGAGTTCATACCCCTTAACTTATCTTTTTAAATGATTTTAAATGCTTTTAGGGTGGGGGATACAAGTAGAAAACATGTTAGTTATATAATCAGTCACATGTGATTTATAACTGGGTTTCAAACAAAGGATTTCATATACTTCAAACTGTGTTTCAAACAGAGGATTTCATTTATTTTAAACTGTCTTATCAACCAAACTACTTTTAAATCGTTTTATAAACTGACATCAAGTCATTATTATTTATTGTTCAAAACTCTTTAAATGTTTACAAAACCTCTTTTAAACTTATATATTGTCAAAAGCATGTCTATATATGTATAGTTATATAAATAATGTTTAAAGGACTTAGGACTGCTAACTCGCTTTATTTCCTTTTCCTTGTTTAGATGTGGACTTAGGGTATTGTTTATTTGTCCGATGGTCGTCTAAATATTAGATACACTACTAGAAAAACAGCCTTTTACAGCGCTCATTGCGCGTCGTAAAAGGCTTAGACGACACGCAACTGCGCATCAAGAAAGGCCCTGTCATAAAGAGAGACGACACGCATTTATGACGCTCATTTACGACATGCAATTACGACGGGCGTTCACGACACGCAATGCGTATCAAGGAAGTCCCTATCATAAAGGAAGACGACACACATTCGCGTGTCGTAACCTTCCGACGCACGTGTTAATGAGACACAATGTGTATCAAGAAAGCCCCTGTCAAGAAAGGCCATGTCATAAATGAAGATGACACACATTTTTGCGTATCATAATTTTAAATGTTTAAAAAAAATATTATTTATAGATTTACTAATTTTCAAACTAAATAACACATTTAAAAGTCTCATAATGCAAAATAAAATACTTATATAATAAAACAATCCATTTCATGAAATAATTGTACTAATATTCAAAATAAATCACATTTAATTGTTATTTTATTAACATGAGTCAAACTAGAAAAAAAAATCTTCCTAATCCAAATAAGAACATACGTAAAACACAAAATATTTTCGGAAAGGAGAAGGTAGAGAGACTGTTTCCATACAATTATCCGTTTGACTACAACACCACCTCATTTTTTCTCTGAGTTGAATGGGGATGCATAAATAACTGAACACTCTGACCTCACAACATCAAAATTCATTCCAAGCTGCAATAATTACAAAAATGACGAGCATCACCTAAAACTAAAATCAAGGATACAAAACAAGATTCTATCCCCAACATATAAACCAAGAACTAACTAACCTTAACCCCCCATTGAAGTATGGCCTTCTCTGTTGGAGATCCAAAAACCTCAACATCTTTGCCTCCCTATTAGTTAAGCACCAAACCAACATTGACAGTGAATTTTCTTTTTTCATAATTGATTAAAGATCACTAACACCAAGAAAAAAAGGTATAGAAGAGGATTGGTTGTCTTGTAAGGTACATATTCAAAATACCTACCTCAGGGGAAAATACATTGCCAGTTGTATTGTGAGCTACCAAGAAAAGAAAAATATCCCACCAAATTCAAAGTCAAAGTTCCAGTTTTATCACACCAAATTGTAGTTGCAGAACCCATCATTTCATAGGCAGATAGCCTAATCTGCACATACAAAATTACCAAAAACATAAAACAAAATACATACAACCATACAAGTCAATGAGATCAAAATATCAATATACCAATGCTTTGTCAGACATCATTTTTCTCATTGAGTATGGTAGCCTATAATTATATATAATTAACATTTTAGTCATCCAAAACTCAGATTAAAGAAATGGTTTATAGAAAATGGACAACTTATGTTGAAGTGACAACGAATGGAAGCCCTTCTGGCAATGCAACATAAACAATAACTACCTATAGACACCTCAAGAATTATAAAGTTGAAAATGAAACTAAATTAAAATATATATGCAGAAGATACATACTGCAACAGTAAAAATTTTGATTACTCCATCTATAGCATCCTTGAAACTAGTTTTACTAGTAATAAACTCTACTTTTTCCTCATCATCCTTTGTGTATCCAGTGAAAAACCTAGCAAGCAGAAAAGACAATTATCTCTTGAAAAGAACTCCAAGGATCTACTCCTTTAGAAGATGGTCACTTATCTCTTGACAAGAACTGCAAGGATCTACTCCTTTAGAAGATGGTAAATCTAATAAAGACCTGATGAAAAAGTCATTGGTTATGAACTAGCATCGGGTGTCCAAATGTACGTGTTGTGATTTGTGACATAACCACCACAAAAAGACCATGCGGTGTTGGTGTTGGTGGTGGCAACAATGGTGGTGGTGGTGGTAGAGGTAGCGGAGGTGGGGGTGGTGGGGCGGTGGTGGTGGTAGTGGTGATGTAAAAAGAAATATCACACATGGTTAGAACTTAGAAAACATCTTCAAAAATCAGAAGCTATTTTTTTGTCTTTTGGAAAAAGAGGTCAAAAAGACTTTTTTTATGTATTTTTGCATGGGATTAGAATGATTAAGTCTTACCATCATAGTACTACTACCATCAGCCACCTTGCACCCAGCCATTAAATCAACCTGTTCCATCATTTTTTTTAAAAGTTACATTATCTACCCTTGAAAACTAGAGAATCGAAATAAAACACAATGTAATCAATAGAAATTTATGAAAACTTACAGTGTGACTCTCTCCAATCATACTTGATTCATCAATAGAAAGAGAGTAACCAAAAATGAAAATCCCATCAGCTGGAACCTGGTTTATGAATGAAATGTAAACAAGGGCAAACACGGAAATCACAAGAAATGAGAAACATATTACCTGGTCGCCTATCATAAAATGTATGACATCACCCACAACAATATCAAATATTGAAATCATCATCCTCCTTCAACCTATGATTGTATGAAAAGATCAATATATTGATTAAAAACCCACCTGACACTGTATGTTCTTCTTCTCCTCATTCAAGTTTTGAAATTTAAGTGAACTTTTATACTCATGCATGGCTAAAGAACACGAAATAACAATGGCATGTTAAAAGAGAGCAAACTATGTGAGATAATCTTTTTGTTTATCTTATTCATGATTGGTTTACAAGTTAGAAAACAGAAATAAAGTATCTTTAACAACCATGACAATTATAACACCCAAAGCTATGCTTCCCCCATCATACCATCCTTTGATCCCATGGAGTAGATAACATACAGATGTTATCTTTCCATAAAAGAAACGAATTAAATAACAAAACATATAAATATTAGACTTAAAGATGTTCATTAACCTTTGTTATTATACCGAGTGCCAAAAGAGCAGCAACAACTACCATAAAGATGATTAATATGGAGTCTCCACAACCATTATACATAAACCTCTATCAAATGCATATTACACAACGATTTTAATTTAGATTAAATTATATTCAAATAATGAGTATTATCGATTCATTTGCCTTTAGTGAGAAAAAATATACAAATAAATTATCAACAGTATATGGGAACAAAACTAAAAAGGAAAAACCATGTAAATGGGAAAGAGAAGAGGAAGGTGATGTTGATGCACTTTTTCCAATTGCTAATGTTTAGTATTATTTTTAAAAAGTAAAAGGCAGATGATGGATCATAGAGAATCATACATCTGTTTTACTAAAACTAGGAAGAACAGGGGCAATAGAAAGTGCTGCTTTCCCTTTAAAAATTGCATAGTCTGCAAATATACTAAACATTAACTTATATACCATTTTACCCTTACTCACCTATCCAATTGTTGTTCTTCTAAGTAAACTTGGATTTGAATCATCTTCATCTTTAACATCATTATACCTACAAACCAGGAACATATTTTGGTTCATACCTGATTGCACAAATCATAAAGAAGAAATGAAGTAGGGGGCAGGGCAGGGTGTTTACCTAGTATGAACCAGTTCCATCTATGGGTTTCTTAGGTTTCAGACCTGATTGCACAAACCCTATGCAAGACGTCTATGGGTTTCTCAGGTTTCAGACCTAATTGCTGCTGCTACTGATGATGATGATGATGATTTTTTTGTCATATTTGGTCCTTATTTCAAGGTTCCATACGGATTTTTATTCCTCAAACGTTGAAATAAGGACCACAATTAGAAAGATACAAGGACCAAAATTGACACATTCATTGACATAAGGACCAAAAGTGTATTTTTTTTTAAAATTTGGACTAAACATTTGTTAAAATCAGAAAGTATAGGGACCATTTTTGTAATTTACTCTAACTGTTATAACGCTTGATTAAAAAATAGGAGAAATTTGGAAATTTGATACCTATGGTATCCAGTTTTTTTTGTTTTGTTTTGGTACAAGGGCAAAATTGTCATTTCAAAAAAACTAACAGCTGAGTAGTTAGATTAACGATCTAGGCAAAATCTATATGAAACCTTGTAATAAGGATCAAAACTGCAAAAAGAAACATTTCCAGCCAAAACTTCAAGTGACATGGTTCTAAAGTCATTATTGATATAATCAATCTTGTTGACAACTGTTTGTATTTTTGGCTTGTTTTTGTCCAAAACAACCTTAGCTGTGAGATTCTTGTATGGAAGATGTTCTTCCCTCAAGTTTAGGTGGATGGTATGGCCCACAGTCTCAAAGGATGAAGGGACTATTATACCCTTTGGAAGCAAAGCCTCTAAAGTCTGCAGTTTTTGGATAAAGAAACATGGTTCAAAACATTCCAAGATATAAATTTTATTAAGGAAGTCACATTGAAACCTATAGTTCAGCATCGGGGAAAGAGGAGGCAGAAAAGTAAATTTAGTTGGGAGTTTTAATGGCTGCAAACAATGGTCAATGGATATCTCATTCATTTACCAATAACTGTAATACAAAGTCAGCTTGCATCTCACAAGTTCAAATGGTGATCTTGTTAAGCATGCCTGAAGAAAAAAGATGATAAAACACATATAATAAGCTCATGAATCGGGAAAAGATAAGTTGGAATGAATACCTTAATTGCCTTAGGAATTTCATTGAACAACTTATAGGCAGTCGGGGTTTGGATAGGCTATCACTAGCGGATCGATGATGGCTACTGCCCATAGGACTACCAGATAAACACTGAAAACATAAACATAAAGACAAGAGATTTAATATCCAAAATTTCATATGTCTGTCGAACTAGATTACTTACCCTCTCGGGAACCTGAGAGCTTAGCAACGAGGCAATAACTCCTGTTATCTTCTCTATCCAATCCATCAATCAAGGTCGTGTTCCGCTTATTTGCTGAACGGATGAAAAAAAAGGACCAAGGCTAGAAGCACAACTGGAAGGTTTGTAAATGTGAGGAGTCGTTGTAGATGGAGTAGGGTAGAGGTGAAGAGGAGTTTAGTTACCAATTTTATGTTGAGATTATTGTGTCTAAATTTCGCCATAAAGATATGATCGAGAGAGAATGGTCTTCGATTTCTGGAAGGAAGCGAGGGTGTTACAGAGAGGGGGGATCAGACTCGCATGGAGATTTAAGGAGAGAGTGAGGGGTCTTTGATCCGATCGATTGAGAATCGTCACCATAAAGATACGATCGAGGAAAATCGTCTTGAGAGGGGAAGTTATTTGGGAAGAACTTGAAGCATTTGAAACCCTAGACCTTGATTCGATGTAACTTGACAGTGGCCATTGTAGATTGATAGATTAAAGACCTGGATTGATCCCTTGTGAAGAAAGCTGCTCGATTACAGAGAGTCCTTATTGACCGAATCCAAAGATTCCATCAATGGTTATATCGGGTTTGGTTAAATCCCTAGTTTGGAATGTGCTACATCTGGTTCATGAACTTGCCAAGTCAATTAGGGTTTTTAATGAAAAATGAAAGGGGTTAATGGATTGGGATGATGTCGTACCTGAGAAAACAAAGAAAAAGAAGGAGACCTCGCAGATCAATTACGATTCACCTTCGAGGTTTACAGAGAGACGGGAGGTAGAGAATGAAGGGAGATCTAGAGGAGAGAGTATCAGAGATGGGAGAGTGGAATGCAAGGATGAAAAATAGATAGAAGATAGAAAAAACAAGGGGGGTTTTCAAAATTTTGGGGATTTCGTTTCCCCCTTGTCTACAAAAAGCGCATTTCATTAAAATTATAAAGCGACAGGTACAGAGGACGCACGTTTAAGATAAAGCGCCCTCCGTGTTTTTAATTTTTTTTCTTGAGACACTAAATTAAGGGCATGCAATAGTGCGTGACGTAAATCCTTAAATTTTTTGGAGAGATGACACTATTTTAAGGGTACGTCCTTTTGTGTATCATTAATCAACGCGTTTCGTAAAAAGCGCGTCATTAAGGGTCTATTTTCTAGTAGTGATATATATTACGTATACATATGTAGATATAAAACTACTATCAATTAGTTCAGTACCTTTGGGTACCAACGGTATACATTCAGTCATTTATTTAATTGAAGAAATAAATAGTAAACTATAATAGGTATAGTTTAGGAGAATGTTATCATATAAAAATACTATAATAGAGAATACTATAACAGAGAATACTATAACAGATAATACTATACAAAGAATACTATACATAGAATACTATTACTATAACAAGTATACTATAACAAGGTTCATAAATAACATAATGTGAGATACTACTTCATGACACAACAACCATTTGGTTGTGTCACGTTTTGTAACCAGAATCTCCTGGAGGGAGAGCGTGAGTTTGCGTATAGATCTATACCGGATTGACTATCCTACACCCTTGCTGTTCGGTACAGTGGAATTTGCAAGTCTACGGGTGCCAAATTTCATTTCTTCCGATGTCTTTCATTGTCACAATCTTATCAAAATTTTCCTTAGTTAAACCATTGGTTTTAAAGTAGTTATTATTTCAGTAGTTAATACAAATAATACTGCAGTACATATACATTTTCCCATTATATTCAAATTGTTTCTTACATAAAGGGTAATATAAAACTATATTTTGGTAATGATAGTCATATTTGGGAAAAGCATTCACTTTTACAGAGAAACAAACATACAAAACAGTTGGGTCTTGGTAGAAGACTACTTTTTATACTAGTCGAACATATAGGATTTTCTAGGAGTTTTCAAACATATACAAACATTTTCATCGAACTTATACAAGTATTTTCATCGAACTTATACAAACATTGACACTAAATACTTATGAACTCACAAGCTTAAATGCTGATCCACACTTTCAAAATAATTTGCATTCTCAGGTCATCTGTAGGCAGGTACCGATGGTAGGTTTTGAGAAGACGGAGCACAGTCAAGACTCGTCTTTTATTTTGATTACTCATTTTTGGTATCTTATTAATATTAAAGAACACACTTGTATGAAATTATACTATTAATGCAATGGATGATGTTGTTGCTTATTTACTACTTTGCATTGTTTTGATACTATACATAACGTCCTCCACCCAGAACGTTTCCGCCGTTCAGGTTTTGTGGTGTGACAGATTGTTATTAGAGAATTGTTTATAGTGAATCGAGTATATCAACCCATAAAATATATACAAACTATAAACACAACAGGATTAAAATAATCTTACCAAGAGTTTATACTTTTAAATAATAAAATATTTAACTAAGTATACATACCTGCATTCATACTAAAGTCAGTGTCACTAGGACAGAACAAAAGTATTACGATTGTTGAACATCGCAGGTAGGCTTGGGGATGAATGGTCCGTTCTAGGAATGACATAGCAGGATCAACTATGTTGGTCCAAGAAGTGATTAGTATATGCCCAAGAGTGGTTGTGATGTGGCAACAAGTTTATAAACTTACCAACACTACTATAATGAGAACATTAGAACAAAACATGAACTTAAAATACTATAGGTGTATTTTGTGTTACTATAATTACTTATTTGAGAACTAAAAAGGTCTTTACTAGTAGGTCAATAGTTGCTATGTGGATACACTAAGGCTATATGTGATTAAGGTGTCATAGAATTAGAATCTGTGATCTTTGCTTTACTTCCTGTTCCTTGTTTGGTTGTGGATTTAGAGTTAGGGTTACTTATTCGAAGGTCTATCCTATTTTGATTTCATATAACTGGTATGCACTATGCAAGTATTGAAGTAACTGGTAAGGATCATCTTATAATTATCTTAAGTAGTACATCTATTTATATTAGATTCTTATACCCCTTTTTGTCGCATAGATATCATTACTGGATTCCATCCTCATGATGACCTGTACTTCCCAAATGAAGGCAATGCAGGATGGCTTGAAGAAGAGCCAGAAGATGATCATCCAATCCCTTTGGATGGTCACTACACTGAAGGCTTTTCCGATGGTTCTGACTCCGATCCAGAAGTCAAAAACCTACCTCAAGTGGTTCAAGTCCCAAATCTCAACCCCCAACCAATATTTCAAGGTCCCACACCCTTGTGAGCGAAAAACTTGAAGCAATGGAGCCATGAATAGGGTCAAACCTTACCCTTCAATGGAGATCGAAGCTTCTACAATGTTAGCGAGGGAGGCTCAGCTGACCGAGTCCTGTCCATCATGGTTCGTAGGATTTCTCAGAATGGTGAGCAAGGTCGGTCAGCTATCAACCAAGTCATGGAAATTAATGCTAATTCAGGCGTCAACACGGTCCGTATTATCCATCTCGAAGAAGATATGGAAAGGACTAGGAGAGTCAATGAGACTCTGCAGCAGGAACTAGCTGCATCCCGAGCTGAAGTCTTAGAACTTCGAGTGTGTTAGAGAGCTCATGAGCGATATCTTTACGACATAGTTTGTCAACTGGCAGATCTGAGGGTTCTCCTGAGGAATACCCGTTGCCAGTAGAAGATGTCTGGCTCATCTTTTGTTTTAATTTTAGGACTAGCCTTTCTTAAATAATGCTCTAAGTAGCACTGTTCTGTAAAATATTCCTATCTTCCAAGTACTATAACTGGACTTCTAAACTATCAACATTTTCCCTTATGGTTTGATGTAAGACCTACTATTAGGTCATTTTTCCTAAATTTGTTACATCAATAATACCAGTAATATTGACAGTTATCTAATATGTTGGAAAATATTTATTCTTGTGTTTTGCCTACTCTACTATTGTGTCTCTATTTCAAACATACTTTCATTCTTATAATTCTAGAACTCTATGGAACTCACACTCTTATCTAGTTGTTGAACTATGGCAATTTAGTTCATGGGACTCATTCATTAATTTCACTATTGGATTCTTATCTTTGTGATCATCTTTTTAACTTATAATTGAAAGTTGCCTCCTCCTATGTCAACAAGGCGTGATCCTCCGATAACTACAACTCAACCACATCCTCCACATTCGACACGACAACTCTTACTGCTGTAGTAGCTGCAGCTGTTGTGACAGCCATGACATAATACCACAACAACCAGGGTACTAGCAGAGGTGGAGAAATCATTCATTCTATGCCAGGTGACGTCATCCTGTGCTCACGAGAGTGCTCTTATAAAGAATTCACCAACTATAAACCCCAGATCTTCAATGGAATCAGTGGAATCATTGCTCTGTCGCAATGGTTCGAGAAGAAGGAATCGATCTTCGAGATCTGTTCCTGTACTAAAGGAAGCAAAGTCAAATTTTCTGCTTGCACCTTCAGCGATAGATCCCTGATGTGGTGGAATGGCCATGTCAAGTCACTAACTCTAATAGTGGCTAATTCTATGGGCTGGGAAGCTCTTAAGGGCTGATGATTGAAGAATACTACCCGAGGGGCGAGGTTCAAAAATTGGAACAAGAACTCTGGAGCCTGACCATGAAGGGCTCCAACATAGTGGCTTACACTGCCAGACTCAGCGATCTGGTGGCACTATACCCCAATATGGTTCCCACTGAGGGAAAGAAGATTGAGAGGTACATTTCGGGGCTAGTGCCTCCATTTCAAGGGAACATGTTAGCTTCAAACCCTACTACTTTCGACATACCCAACGGTTGGCACAACGACTCATTGATCATGGAGTCCCTACCCCGACCACGACAACAAGCCCGACTATCTTAGAACCCTCCAAAGCCGCTGACAACAAGCGAAAGTTCTGGGATAACAAGAAGGAAAAATCGGTGCACAACTCACCAAGAAGTAGCAAGTTGTGGCTATTCATGCCGCGATTGCACCTGCTGCTACTACACCGAGGAAGTAGTATACTGGGAATTTTCCCAAGTGCAATAAATGCACTTTCCATCATAATGGTGCCTGAAGGGAAATGTAGTACGCTAACTATAACAGGAA